TAAATTCCTAGAGAGCCACCTGCCTCTGCTTCTTATCTGTCTTTGGGATCAAAGACACATGCCATTAAGTCAGTGCAGAGTGATTCCTTTTTTGGTTTGCGGGTTTTTGTGGTTGTTTGTTTGAGAGGGTTTCTCTGTGTATCCCTGGCCCAAGCTGGCATCAAACTCAAGAGATTTGCCTGTCTCTGCCTCCTGAGTGTTGGGATTAAAGGTGTGTGTCACCACTGTCTGGCTATGCTGATTTCCCTTTTTTTTTTTTTTTTTTTTTTAAAATTTTTCCTTTTTTTTTTTTTTTTTTTTTTTAAAGATTTTCCTTATTTCTTTCTTTATTATGTCTGCCTGCATGCCAACAGAGGGCATTAGATCTCATTCAAGGTGGTTGTGAGCCACCATGTGGTTGCTGGGAATTGAACTCAGGACCTCTGGAAGAACAGTCACTGCTCTTAACCGCTGAGCCATCTCTCCAGCCCTCCTTTTTTTTTAATTTTATTTATTTTTATTTAATGTTCTTTGGTGTTTTGCTATGAGTGTCAGGTCCCATGAAACTGGAGTTACAAACAGTTGTGAGCTGCCCTGTGGGTGCTGGGAATTGAACCATGGTCCTCTGGGGAGCAGTCGGTGCTCTTAGCCACTCAGCCATCTCTCCAGCCCCAGACTGATTTCCTTTTTTGTTTTTTCAAGACAGGATTTCTCTGTGTAACCTTGGCTATTCTGGAGCTCACTCTGTAGACCAATCTGGCTTCCAGCTCACAGAGATCCGCCTGCCTCTGCCTCCCCAGTGCTGGGATTAAAGGCGTGCTCCACCGCCGTTGGCCCCCAGACTGATTTCTTAAAGGTTGGCATGATTGAAAGAGTCTGTGCTTGCAGAAAGAGGAAGATGCATACCTGAAGCTGTGTTTAAGGGAAGGGCTCAGTGGGTAATGTGTGCAGGAAAAGTTTGCTGTTAGAGACTTAAGCAGGCCTTCAATTTTAAGATTTGTGTAACATTTATTATGAAAAAGTGTAACGTCATCTACCCCTCATTGCTATTGTGATTAAAGAAATATGTGAAGTGGTTTTTCACAGTTCCACTCCAAACAGTAGGGCTTCTTTAAAGTTTTTCTGGATGAAGTATTTCAGTGCAAAAACTGGGTAATCCAGCTTTGTGGGGGTGGCGGTACACACCTTTAATATCAGCCCCCTCCCAAACAAACAAAAACAACTCAGTAATCCAAAACCATTGACCTAATGGTCAGGTTTATTATTGTCACCATTATTACTTATTTACTTACTTTATTTTGCCATACTGAGAATTGAATCCAGGGCCTCACATGTGCTAGGTAAGCACCTTTTCTCTTGAGTACATCTAGCAGTTTACCTGTACAATCCCCAACCAAGCAAGTGTGCTTGACTATTTGTTTATTTAGCAGTTTGATGCCTGCTGTATTTGAAGTCCTGTGTACTATAGACTGATTTCTCTGAGCTCATTATGTAGAGTTCCCTTGAGGAGATGAGAGTGACATGACAGAAAGGACAGTCTAGTGAAAAGAGGGACGGTGAGACATGGCTATTGCGGGGTGTGGTGGTGATGAGCTCTAATCCCAGCCCTGGGGAGGCAGAGCCACGCGGCTCTCTCAGTTTGGGGATAGTTTGATCTGCATAGGGATTCCAGACTAGCTAAGGTTACACAGTGGAGAGAGACCCTGTCTCACAACACCAAAGGTGTGGTGTGTGTAACAGTTGCTGTCAATCATGGTGTATCATAATGTAAAGCTGTGTTGTTTTCAGTATTAGTGGCATGTGGAATGAGACTAAGAGTGGTAAACAAGTAGATTAAGAGCTAGATTCAGGGCTGGAGAGATGGCTCAGAGATTAAGAGCACCTACTGGTCTTCCAGAGGTCCTGAGTTCAATTCCCAGCAACCACATGGTGGCTCACAACCATCCGTTATGAGATCTGGTGCCCTCTTCTGGTGTGCAGATATACATGGAAGCAGAATGTTGTATACATAATAAATAAATAAAAATCTTTAAAAAAAAAAAAGAGCTAGATTCAGAGCTGGGCTGGATGGTGCACTTGGCAGCCAGAAGTAGGGGGATCTCTGTGTGTTAGAGACCAGCCTGGTCTACAGAGTGAGTTCCAGGACAGCTAGTGCTGTTTATACTGAGAAACCCTGTCTCAAAAGCAAATAAAACAAACAAACAAAAAAAAGAAATAGACCAGAGCCTTGTTCTCTGGTGTTGATGTGTGAGGAGCTGAAGAGGCTATATTAGAAGAGGGTTGAGATATGCCCTGCTACCCAAGATGGGTGCAATGGAGAAGTGAGGTTTGAGAGATTGAAGAGCCTGGATTGACTTGAAAGTGAGAGGAAACTGAGAGGAAGCAACTGTCCGTGACTCATCGGCTCTCTGTACAGGATACAGAGAATGAATCTTTATAATGGGAAAAGGTAGGATCAGGTTTTAGGGGAAATGCACAAGTTTCATGTCCCTCCAATAGAATGATTGATACATTGAAATAGTTTTTGTTGTTGTCCGTATGAGTACTGTGGGCTTTTGTTTGTTTAGCTTGTTTTGGTTTTGCTTTTGACTCACTGTGGAGCCTAGGTTGGCCTCTTGCAGTCTTCCCTCCTCTGCCTCTCCAGTGCTAGGATTACAGACATGTGCTACCATAGCAAGCTTTGGACTGCAATTCTTTGCTCCATTTCAACCTTTTTTATTATACTTATTTACTTCTTGGGTAGCTTGGTGAATATTCTGTGGTGTATACATAGAGGTCAGAGGGTAACCTGCTGAAGTTCTTTTCTCCTTCCATCGTGTGAATGCTGGGGATCCTGCTCAGGTTTGTCAGACATGGCAGCAAACACCTCTACTGGCTGAGCCATCGGCCCAGTCCTGTGTGTTATAGAAGTTTATAGTGTCATTGGCCTCTACAAGCAGGGCACCATTGCCAAACATCTCCTGTGGAAATAAAATCCCCTTCTCCCTAGTTGAATTCCAGTGTCTTTCTGGGTCCCTTTATTGAAAGTCATTTACCTAAAAGGTTTATACAGAGTCAATTTAATTTAAATATAACTGACTTGCCAAGAATTACCAAATTTGTAATAGTTGGTCTTGAGTAGAACTTTAAAAATCTTTTCAAGATTTATGCTTGTCTAGTTGCTTTTTTTTGGTTTTTTCGAGACAGGGTTTCTCTGTGACTTTGGAGCCTGTCCTGGAACTAGCTCTTGTAGACCAGGCTGGTCTCGAACTCACAGAGATCCACCTGCCTCTGCCTCCCAAGTGCTGGGATTAAAGGCGTGTGCCACCAACGCCCGGCATTGTCTAGTTGCTTTTCATTCATTCATTCATTCATTCATTCATTCATTCATTCATTTTTTGAGTCATTCATTCATTTTGTGAGACAGGGCCTTACTATGTACCTCCGGAACTTACTGTGTAGATCAGGTTGGCCTTAAATTAATAGAAATCTGCTTCAAGTGCTGGGATTAAAGGCTTTCATCACCATGGCCACCTATGTCTAGTTGATTTTCCATAGAAGAAATGATAAACATTTTGGAAGGGTTTTAGTTTTATTTATTTTATATGCTTGAGGGTTTTGCCTGCTTGTGTGTTTGTGCACCATGTGTGACTGGTATCTGGAGGCCAGAATAGGGAATTATGGATAGTTTTGAACCAACCTATGAGTGCCAAAAATGAAACCTGAATCTCCTGCAAGAATGACAAGTGCTCTGAGTCTGTTCCACTTCTCTAGCCTCAGGCATGGCTCTTGTTTGTTTGTTTGTTTCTCTGTGTAACAGCTTTTACTGTCCTGGAATTTGCTTTGTAGACCAGGTTGGCCTGGAACTCACAGAGCTCTGCCTGTCTCAGCTTCCTGAGTACCAGGATTATAGGTGTGCCACCTGGCCAGGCATAGCTTTTTTTAAGTAAAGAGCAAAATCAAAATAAAACAAAATGCTTTAAAATGAAACTGATACATAAAAAGAAAAAAGTTGATTGAATGTGGCAAGAAATGGTAATTTCTCACTAATTAGCTATTGGCTCATTGTCGTCAGTGTACGGTGACATTTAACATTCTGCTCTTTCGAAGGCTGTGTTGAGGGTTAGACATACAGCATACAGGTACAGTTGCTGAGAGTTGGTTTTTTTTGGGGGGGGGCGTGGTTTTCGAGACAGGGTGCTGGGATTAAAGGCGTGTGCCACCAATGCCTGGCCAGTTGCTGAGAGTTAAGTTCTGTTTTATGTGATAGTCACCTTTTTAAAATACAGATGCGAGTCAGCTGACAGTGGAGTTACAATTGTAGTATACATTACTGCAAATGCCATTCTAATTATTACTCTTAACCTACCAAACTTCATAGCTTAGTCTAGCTGCACCTTAAGGTGCTTGGAGTACTTAAATTAGCCTACAATTTTGCAAATATTACCTAAAATAAACCTATTTTTTGGGGGGAGGAGTGGGGAGGTTCAAGACAGGGTTTCTCTGTGGTTTTGGAGGCTGTCCTGGAACTAGCTCTTGTAGATCAGGCTGGTCTGGAACTCACAGAGATCTGCCTGCCTCTGCCTCCTGAGTGCTGGCATTAAAGGCGTTTATTTATAAAATAAACCTATTTTATAAGAAAGTGTTGTATATCTTGGATAATTTAATTAAGTAAATACTTGTATCCCAAAAGAGCTGGCTGAACTATGTACTGTATAGTTTTGGTCTTTACTTCTCCATCATGACCTATTGGTGCTTTTAGATTGTCACTCTGTATCAGTGGTTCAGGAAACAGTTGCAATGCAAAATTTGAAGTACAGTTCCTACTAAATGTACTCCGTGGTAAATTGGAAAAATCATAAGTTGGAATTAGCTCTCTGGGAACCTGATTGAGTTATAACCCTTGATCTGTTTCTTCTAAGTTTGTTTTCCTCATCACTTTATATCAGGAGGTTCAGTCCTTTACGATTGAAGTGAAAGAAGGCATTCATGTTCCGTTTCTTGCAGCAGATGCAGCACCGCATGTCCTCTGACTTCCTTGTCTCTGTGTTTGTTACCTTGCAGCACACTTCACATGGAGATGGGAGGCAAGAAGTCGCCTCCCGCACCGGGCGCTCTGGAGCTCGGTGTAGAAACTCAATAGCTTCCTGTGCAGATGAACAGCCTCACATCGGAAACTACAGACTGCTGAAAACAATCGGCAAGGGGAACTTTGCAAAAGTGAAATTGGCAAGACACATCCTCACAGGCAGAGAGGTAAATGCTTGTGCTTGCTTCTGCTGTGGTTTGTTCTGCTAACTTTAAGGACCAGGACACATGTTGACAACTGGGAAGTTCTGCTTTTCTGTTGCTGCAAATATATCAAGTGAGTCCTCTAACTTGAAAAATGAATATGTTCTGTTCCCTTTCAGTGGAGAACTCAATAAAATTGTTGTGAACTATTTGCACAGAACTTATGCACTTGTGTTCACAGACCCGTAAGCTCAAGGTACTTGCACATCAGTAGTTATCTGTATTTACAGGGTTATCCCATGGGTTTCCTTCCTTTTCTGAGGATTTCTGGTAGTCCACGTTTGCCAGGTTGTGCCGGAAGACACATGCTTTCCCAGCTTTTGTGACTTGGCTCTCTTGCATTCCTTATCAAAGTACTCGTTTTGAAACCACAGAACTAATTTCCTCTTTGCATCTTCTTTGTGGTGCAGAGCCTGTTGTGGGACTGAAGGACTCAGCTCTGCTGTGTATCGATTCCTTCTGGGAAGTATTTGTTGACACACCCCTGATACCCTCTTACACAGCAGGGTTTATCTTACATCCTTTGACTTGTTTTTCCTCCCTCACTCTGTAATGGTGACTGCTATATGTAGGAAAGTGGTTGGTACTTGTTATAAGTATAACAAATACTGGTCAGATGACTATAATTGTATGATTGAAGATGCTTTTAAAAGAGATGTTCTGGCTGGGAGAGGTGGTGCCTTTAGTCCCAGCACTCGAGAGGCAGGCAGCCTGGTCTACAGAGTGAGTTCTAGACAGCTAGGCCAGTTGGTTACAGGGAGAAACCCTGCCTCAATATAAACAAACAAACAAACAGCCAGGCAGTGGTGGCACATGCCTTTAGGCAGAGGCAGGCAGATCTCTGTGAGTTCGAGGCCAGCCTGGTCTACAGAGCAAGTTCCAGGACAGCCTCCAAAAGCTATAAGGAAACCCTGTCTCAAAACCAAGACAAAAACGACAACAAAAAACCCCAACCAAAATAAACAGAAAGAAAGAAAACAGTAAGCCCTCTAAATACAACCAGTTCAGGAATATAATGACTGTTGATACTTCTTCAAGACTGTTATTCATTTGACCCATAACATTAAAATGCAGCCAAATAGCAACAAAACAAAACCCAGCAGTGTCGGCATTCACACAGAGAGTGACTGTGCTCATCAGGGCACACAGCAGACTTCTAGCACCCCACTGCCTTTGAGAATATATCAGTGGAAAAGCAGTTAACAGCCATTTCCTTTTTCTTTTTCTTTGGCTCTGGGTGGTTTGCTATGTAGACTGCGCTGTCTTCAGTTTGCAGAAGTCTACATCTCTGCCTCCAGAATGCTGAGATTAAAATTGTACACCACCACACACAACATGAGCCCTGTTTGACAGAGCAGAGATTATGTGATTGAATTTCTAGGGCAGGATTCTTTGAGATGGGGAATCTCTCTGTTTGAGGCCAACCTGGTCTACAGAGTGAGTTCCAAGACAGCTAGGACTACACAGAGAAAACAAACAAACAAACAAAAAAGCCAAAACTCAAACAAAAGATGTTGTGTGCATTACCGTCTTCTGATGGCTATGTCAGTACTGCATGACAGGTGTGCATTGATGCCATAGCTCACGAGCAAGCCCTGTGCCAGTCATTGTGTCAGCAGATGGTCTCTTCACTGCCGCACGCGCACACACACGCCCTTTAGCTCTTTTTTTTGGGGGGGGATTCTTCGAGACAGGGTTTCTCTGTGTGGCTTTGGAGCCTATCCTGGCACTCGCTCTGGAGACCACGCTGGTCTCGAACTCAGAGATCTGCCTGTCTCAGCCTCCCGAGTGCTGGGATTAAAGGCCTGCGCCACCAATGCCCGGCTGCCCCTTAGCTCTTCTAGGTGTTGTTTATGCCGCAGCTTAAGGACGGCTGAGAAGACATGTTTTACCCTAACTAGAGTTAGGAAAGTAACAGAAAATTTGCCCTTCACAGTCTCAGTTTTACCAACTATATTTTTTGTGGCTATGTGGAGACTGAAAACAAGGATCCAAAAACAAGCTGAATAGATGGAGCATTCCCTACTGTCCCCGAGTGGACCTTTCTTGAAATAACATGTTAGTATTCACCAGTCCCTGATGTTTGCCCCTGTTTCCTGAGGTGGCAGAGGTAACGGGGCAGACAGACCAACAGACAGTGTTTGCTGGAGTCTGGTCTACTGTGTTTACTTGTAGTGTAGTCTTTCTCCATAAGGATTTAACAGTGGTGGTGACCAAAGTGGCTTAATTTAAGGTTCTCTTCAGTTTTCAAAAACTTTAGTCAAAATCATTTTTCTTTTTCTCCTTTTTATTAGTGTGATCAGAATCATATATGTAAACATTATAAAATTTATTATGTAGAAAGCAGAAGTTTATTTTCTTCTGTCAATTTCTCTTTTCCAAGAGAATTCCCACAGTTTTTATATAGATGTTAACTTTTGGCTAGCTAAAAAGAGACTGATGGATGTAATAGTACTCTCTATTTTGTGGGTATTTTCAGTAGTAATACTGTTACTGTTATAATTAGAGTGTGTATGAGCATGAGCATGCATAGTTCTGCCCATGTGTAGAGACTAGAGGACAGCTCTCTTAGACTTAGTTTTCTCTTGTCTCCGTTGTTACTAATTTCAAATTCCGTTCAAGCTTTTGTGACAAGCACCGTTACATGCTGAGCCATCTTGCCAACCAAATAGTGGTGGTTTTGGTTGGTAATGGACCTTGACTACTATCAAGGTGTTTGTATTCGTGGATTTCATACCATTGGAAAGGCAGCATAGTCTTTCAGGATACAGTGGGCCGCAGTGTGACCATTGGGGATATCTCTAAATGTTTTTGTTACTGCTATAAATAGGTCCATAGGAAGCCTTATTTACCACTGTGTGTGATCTTATTAAGAATATAGGATAGGGCTAGAGAGATGTCTCAGAGGTTAAGAGCACTGAGATTTATTTGGGCCTAGAGAGATGGTTTAGCAGTTAAGAGCATGGACTATTCCTCCAGAGGACCCAGCTTTGACTCCCAGCAACTATATCTGGTGGCTCACAACTATTTGTAACTTTAGCTGTAGGCTAGAGCCTCCGCAGGCACCTGCACTCATGTGGACAGACTTAGCACATATAGTTAAAAATAATTAAAAATATTGTGCATGTGGGTCTGTCTGTGTACATGTGTGCTCACAAGGGGTGACATTCCTTATCATTTGTATAGATTGTCTTTGTAATCTGGTCTTCTGGCTATCTGTGTTTAAAATGGAGTTCTAAGAAGTGAGTCTGAAGTTGTGGTCACATGTACAGGTTACATGTGGCCACCAAGCTTGCCTTGGGTCGGTGGATGGTACTTTCATGAAAACCCCTGACACTTGTCTTCTTCTCTGGGTATGTTAATTCGTATAGAGGGGGATCTTTTCTTCTGCTTATGGCAGAGTTGGGGGGGGTAGCAGGTTGTCCCAATTACTACTTATTCCTCATTTTTGTTCCCATGTCTCTATCCCATCCCCTGGTTTCCATGGAGTGAGTTTCCAGTCTTGGTGGCTCCTTTTTATGCCTAGGGCCTCTTAGCTTTCCTTAGTAATGCTGGCCAGTCAGCATTTTCTCTCCATGTATTTCCTTTATTTTCTGTCCACTGGAGCAGGGCATTAGTGGCGCACGCCTTTAATCCCAGCACTCGGGAGGCAGAGGCAAGCAGATGTCTGTGAATTCAAAGCCACCCTGGTCTACAGAGAGTTCCAGGACAGATTCTAAAGCTACACAGAAACGGTCTTGAAAACCCCCCCCCAAAAAAAGTGATTATTTTCTGTCTACTCTGTGAGATCACTTTTGAAATCTTTTTCTCTCTTTTTGTTTTTGCCTTTTTAACATGTGCTTTTACACCTATGTCCTGTTAGAGCTAGGCCTTCTCATTGAACTGGAGTGTCTGCTCTTTCCCCTCACGTTTGTCTTGTCCCTTCACTAGATGACTCTAGTCTGCAGCCTCATTTACTCTCAACCTCTAATTCTTTTTTATTCTTTTTGTGGGAGGTGAGATTTCAAGAAGGGGATTCATTGTATAGCCCTGACTATTCTGGAACTAGCTCTGTAGACTGGGCTGACCTTGAACTCACAGAGATACATCTACCTCTGCCTACTGAGTGCAGGGATTAAAGGCATGCTCCATCACTGCCTGGCCTCTAATTCTTATCTTTTTACTTAATTAGCAGTTCTGGAGATTGAACCCACAGTCTGCTAGGCACTGTAGCACTGAGCCCCTAGCCTCCGATTCTAGATACTTTCAAGTGTTTATCAGTTGTAACAATGTTTAAACATGATCCTGTGGGATATTAAACTTCCTGAGACTTCAGATAGTTCTATATTTTAGGGTTTTTTTTTTGGGGGGGGGGGGTGTTGGGTTTGAGACAGGGTTTCTCTGTGTCGATTTGGAGCCTGTCCTGGCACTCGCTCTGTAGACCAGGCTGGTCTCGAACTCACAGAGATCCACCTGCCTCTGCTTCCCGAGTACTGGGATTAAAGGCGTTTGCCACTAAAGCCTGGCTAAGTTTTAGTAATCTTAAGATGTCACAACCATTTTTTTTTTAAAGTTACTTTATCTGACATAGTATACCTGTGTTATTGCTTATTTTCCACTTTTAGAGTTGCTGTTTACTTAAATGAATGTCTTTATTAATATGTAAACAGTGTTGAAATAATGTAGTATTTACTGTATACCCGCTGCTTTTTCTTTTCCCTGAGTCAGGGTTTCTTTGTGACGCCCTGGCTGTCCTGAAACTTTTTCTGTAAACCAAGGTAGCCTCAAATTCAGAAATCCACCTATCTCTATCTCGCAAGGGCTTACTCTACCATTCACAGCTGACTTTTCCTTGTGGTTGTATTTTATTGTTGTAGCTGGAAACCCTTTTTTTTTTTTTTGAAGGTTTTTTTTCTTGTATGTGTATTAGTGTTTAATATGCATGTATATATGTGCACTGTGAGTGTGCCTGCTCCTCACAGAGATAGAATAGGGCCTTTTTTAATCCTCGGATGTGGAGTTTTAGATATTTGTAAGTCACCATATAGACAGTAGGAACTTAACCTGAGTCCTGCAAGAGCATCAAGTGCTCTAAACTTTTTGGCATCTCTTCAGCCCCTTAAGTTTTATTTTGTAACCAACTACTGTCATGGTTTGCATCCACCATGGACTAAAAGGTTTGTTGTCGTCCCCCCCCCCCCCCCCCACACACACACACAGGGTTCTCTGTGTAGACTTAGCTGTCCTGTAACTCTCTCTGTGGAACTGGTTGGCCTTGAACTCAGAGGTTTGCTTGCCTCTGCCTTCTGAATGCTGGGATTACTGCTTGTCTTGTCCTCAAACTCTTACGTTGAAGTCCTAGCTTATAGTGTGACTATATTTGGTAATAGGGTCTTCATAGAAGTTTAAATGAGCTTTAATCAATGTTATTTATGTTTTTGTAAAAAAGGAACAACAGAGAATCTTCTCTTTCTACTAGGTGAGGATACACTGAGAAGGAATGAACTGTCTGAAGCTAGGAACAAAATCCTCACCAGAACCAACCCTGCAGGCACTTTGATTTTGAATTCTATTATTCACTAAAATGAATTGTTTCTGTTTAAACTACCAGTCTATGGTATTTATTATGGCAGCTTAAGCAGACTATTGGGAGCTTAAGAGATTTAGAATTCTTTCATTTTTTATTATTACAAGTTTTATTTTTTTTATTTTTTGGTTTTTCGAGACAGGGTTTCTCATTGTAACTCTGGTTGTCCTGGACCTCCCTGTGTAGGCAAGGCTGTCCTATGAATTCACAGACATCCACCTGCCTCTGCCTTCTGAGTGCCGGAATTAAAGACTTGCTCCACCACTGCATGGCTTGTTTTTTTTTTTTTAAATTATATGTATGTGTACTGTCTGTGTAGTTTTGTGCTCTTGAGTGTAGCCAGAGACATTGGATCCTTCTACAGCCAGAATTGCAGGTGGTTGTCAGCTACTTAGTTTGGTTGCTGGGATTGAATTCAGGTCCTCTGCAAGAGCAGTATACACTCCTTACTGTTAAGTTGTCTCTCTAGCCCTGGAGTCCTTTTTTTGACTGTTCTTTTAATGGTTATGGATGCCTTAACACCTTTCAGGGTCCAAATACTAGAACCTTTTGATCAGATGCTAGAAGATAAAAATTTTCCTCCAGGGATGTTTGCTTTGCCTGGTCTCATGCATGAACCTCTTTATTACTGTTTTGAAACTTTCCACTTTGCTTCAGGCATCATAGTTACTAAATGAAATTTCCAGAACTTTATATGGCATGTGACAGGCACAATCAACCCCCTTTCCTCACCTAGAGAACTTATGTGGCTTTTTCTGGGTCACTCTTCCCCACACCCACCCACAGCCTTGAGAACTAGTGATAGTCTCCTCTCTAGTCTCCACCTTTCTGGTAACACCACAGTAATCATACCCCAAAGTCACTCTTTCTTGGTGATCTCAAGGTTTCAGCTCCCCAGGCTCCAGGTCAGGTCCAAGGTTAATTTGGTGATTGAATCAACCCAGCTCGGAGGAAAAGAGATTAAGAACTTTTTCATTGCTGTGTATATATGTTAAATTATTATCTTTTACTCACAGGAGCTTTGATGACTTTTCTATAATTTAGTGGAACTGTATACAACACATCTGACCTTTTTGAAAAGCAGTTAAAAGCACTGACAGCTTTTGCAGAGGACCTAGGTTCATTTCCTGTACCCAGGTGGTGGTAGCTCACAGGTGTCTGTAACTGTAGTTGTAAGAGATCCAGTGCTGTTTTTTTGGCCTCCATGGGCACCAGGTACACACATGCAAGCAACACACTCATACACACAAAATATAAATAAATAAAAGCCTGGCAGTGGTTGCTCATGCCTTTAATCCCAGCATTCATGAGGCAGAGACAGTCGGATCTCTGAGTTTCAGGCCAGCCAGGGCTACACAGAGAAACCCTGTCTCCAAAAACCCCAAACCAAAAACTAACCCCACAAACAAACAAAAGCAGTCCCTGAATATGAATGTGTAAGAACAGAAGCAGGATAGAATTGCCACTTACAAACAGGAAGCTAGCAATTATAAAGAGCAGCTAGAAACCAGGTTTCTGAAACTCAGAGGGAAGAAAATGGGAAGCGGCCTCAACACTGCCAGATTTGTCCCTAAGATTGACATTGGACTATGACCAGAAAAGAGAGATTTCTTTGGAATTGTGAATTCCATATACATCGTGAAAAATCGCTTATGAAAATAAAATTTTGGGGGTGAAGAGATGGCTCAGCAGTTAAAAGAGCATTGGTTGTTCTTCTAGAGGACTCAGGTTCAATTCCCAGCACCCACATGGCAACTCAGAACTGTCTGTAACTTCAGGTCCAGTGTATCTGACACCCTTACACAGACATACATTCAGACAAAACACCAATGCACATAAAATTTAAAATAAGTCATAAAAAAGGAAAGAAAATAAAGATTGAAAAAAATTAATTCTATTTTGAAATACTGTAAATTTTTATAAGTGACATTTGTAATCTGTTAAAATGCTGGAAGTCATGTTTTTTCATTGTCCTTGCTCAATTTTTAATGTATCTTTGGTTGCTAATTATGAGTGTTGAAGGCCTTGATCAGCTTAACAAATGTAAGTACCGCACTGTTGTATGACAAAACTGGGGAGACATTACACAAAAATATGCTCCCTACAGGTAGGAATTCATGACAGACTGAAGTGCACATACCACCAATGTCCAACTTGGTGAACTAATTAAGTTTTATCCATGTTACTTATAAGACTATGGGTGAGGGGTCACTTACAGGAACAGAAATGACTGAAAGACAGCTGTATGACTAAAGCCACCCCAGCATGGGTAACAGCTCACAAAGCTGGAAACCTGGGTCACACTGCACAGCCTGCAGGTAGTTCAGCAGTTTGAAGAGTATCTTTTCCAGGTGTCTCGGTTTGTATAAACTGCTTCTAGGCAGCTTGGTTGGTTTCTGCTTCTTCCAGGTAGCTGGACTGGTTTCAGAGTTCTTTGCAGCTAAACTCCATTTATCTGAGAGGGACCCTCAGGTTTCATTGCTTACTCCACAAAGGAAGGGCCTAATGAATCTGGTCAGTTTTAGGGACTTCCTGAAGCTATTTTAAGGTGTTTATTTTCCTGCTGAAGGAGCTTTACTGCAGGATGGAGTATTTCAATTTCAGAGGAAACAACTGCTCAAACACAGCACAACTTGGGCTATCAAATTGAATAAATAGTCTGGTTCTTCCCAGGTGAGATATGTATTGGTGATATTTGAAAATCCTACCAGCAAATACTTTTTTCTTAATCTTATTTAATACAGTTTCTGCTTATATTTTTCAAATATGTTCATACATTCTCTACCTTTTTCTCAATTCTGAGTTGCCTTGAAGCAGTCAGAACCATTGCTACAATGTTTCTTCTTTCTTGGTCCTGGAGTCCAACAGGCTCATAGAAAATCACTAATTTGAGCAGGTAGTAGTTTTTAAAAATAATGTAGTGTTGGGCTGACAACATGGCTCTCAGTGGGTAAAGGTTCCTATGGCTTAGCCTCATCAGATGACCTGAATTTAATCCCTGGAACCCACATAGTGGAAAGAGAATTAACTTCAGAAGGTGGTCATCTGTAGCATGCATGTGTGCACATATATACTAAATAAATTGCTTGTTTTTGTTTTCCAAGACAGGGTTTCTCTGTGTGGCTCTGGCTGTCCTGGAACTCACTCTGTAGACCAGGCAGTCTCGAACCTAGAGCTCTTTAGGCTAAATATTCCTTTCAGGTTTCTGCCTTAGAATGCCAACGTTTGCTGAGATTAGTTTCAGTAAAGAGCAAAGTGGGGATGGGGAGGTATATAGGTCGGTAGCATCCGACTAGCCGCCTAGCATGAATGAGACTCTGTCTTGCCAGTACTACCACCCCCAAAGTGAAGAGATTTGAAGTGTATTCATTCTATAATATTTTGAGGGAAGGGTAGAAGAGATTATTTCACCTCCTCTATGTATAGAGAATGTTATGATGTCATATGAGGTCTCTTCTAAATCACATTGTCTTAAGAAGTTCTAATTACTTTGTTGTAACCAGCTTAGATTTGCTTTTTAACAATGCCATGTGTGCAAATTTATACAACTTTTACTGTTTAGTCTATAATTATCAAGTTCTGAAAATCTGTAAATACTTCCCTCCCAGGTTGCAATAAAAATAATTGACAAAACTCAGTTGAATCCAACAAGTCTACAAAAGGTACGTTGATGTAGTATTTACTATTTTTAATTTTTCTGTTTTAATTGCTATGTGCTTTACCTTTTAAATGTCTTAACTGTTACTGCAGCAAAGCTTTCTGTTCCTCCAGTGGAGGTAGCTTGCTGGGCATGATAGTGGTGCATGCCTGTAACCCCAGCACTTGGAAAACAGGCAGAAACTCTCTTCCCAAGTTTAAGGCCAGCCTGAGGTTTGTAGTTAGACATTCCCCATCTCTCCCCTAAAACTTAAATGGAATATTTCCTAAAAACAGTTTGGTTAACTTCATTTGAGGGCAATCGTTTTAAATGTTTGACTAAGAATTTGGGAAAAATAACTTATGAAAATATTTTCATTTGAGACATATACTTTTTCTTGAACCAGTTACTTGTGAGGCTTCTAGAGAAAGGAAATTGCTTGAGCTCAAACATCTTTGAGCACTTTCTTTTTTCTTTCTTTCTTTCTTTTTTTTTTTTTTTCTGAGACAGGGTTTCTCTGTGTTGCTTTGGAGCCTATCCTGGAACTCCCTCTGTAGACCAGGCTGGCCTCGAACTCACAGAGATCTGCCTGCCTCTGTGCTTTGTATTTTTAAAACTTTATTATTGTTGTGTGAGTGCATGGTGTACCTGCTTTGGGTGCCATGGCGCATTTGCAGAGGTCAGTGGATAACTGCATGGAGTTGGCACTCTCCTTTTATATTTTTGTGTGGGTTCTAGAGGTAAAATCAAGGTTGTCTGGGTTGTGTAGCAAGTGCTTTTACCCACTGAGACATCCCATCCTGCTTCTGCATCTTAACTGACTTGACTATGAGCAAGTCACTAAACTTTTCAGTTTTAGGTCCTCTCTCTCTCTCTCTCTCTCTCTCTCTCTCTCTCTCTCTCTCACTCTCTCTGTCTCTCTCTCTCTCTCTCTCTGTCTCACTGTGTGTCCTTGATTGCCCTGCAATTTGCAATGTAAATCAGGCTGGCCTCAAACTCATAGAGATCTGCCTTGCTTTTCCTCTTGAGTGCTGGGACTAAAAGTGCCAGCATGCCCAGTAGGTTTTTCATCTTTGAAAGAGATAGTTTAATCCAGTGTTGGTGGTGTGGCCCTGTAGTGTTAAATGCTAGTAGCCCTGGTACAGGAGAATTTCTTAAGCCCAGATTCAGTAGGCAACAACAATCAAGACCTCTCTTTAACATAGTGATTGTTACTTAGTATTATTTCATCATCTCAAAGTGGATATTCTAATGAAACAGTGTTTGTTAAAGAGCTTTGTAAATCTCAAAACTCCTCTACAGTTGGAAGTTACTTTGGTATATGTAATGCACAATTTAATTAGTACTGTATTCCTACTGGTGATTTTTATCCTGATTTTTTTTGGGGGGGGGCCTATATCTGTTATTTGGAGAGGGTCAGGGAGGAGAGGGGAGGAGGTAGACTTTATCTTATACTATAAATAGTATTTGAACACGATGCAAACAGATCCCAGTCCTTGGTTCTAAAGTATGAATTTTGTTTGCTTGCTTGTTTTCTCTTTTTTTCCCTCCCTCCCCCCTCCCTTCCTTCCCCTCTCTCCCTCTTTTTCCTTTTTTCATTATGACAAGGTCTGGCTAACCCTGGCTGGCCTCAAACTCACCTGGAACATGTCTGCCTTTGTCTACTGAGTGCTAGGATTAAAGGCGTGTTGCCCTTAAGCCCCTAACCGGTTTTCTTAAATTTTCGTATCTAAGATTTAATGCTAATAAATAAATTAGGAAATAATATAATTTAGTATTCAGAAATTAATTATAAAATCTACTGAGGACCTTTATTTCTGTATTTTATTATGGTACTGCAAATTATTTACTGTCCATGTGAATCTAGACATAGTTAGAATCCTACCAATTTTCCAGGCATTTTAACATAGGTTTGTCTCAGGTTAGCTGTAATTTCCCCTTGCTTCCTGAGTGCTTGCTTTATGTCTCATTTACTTGGTCATTGCTATTATTTAGTATAAGGTAGTATTACTACAGCATCAGATTCCTACAGTGTTTGTTTTCTTAGTACACTGTATGTTTAGACCAGTAGTGTGATTAAACATTTTTGTACTGGCATCAGTTTTTGTTTATAATAATCTAGTAGTTAAAACTTAGTAATTTGTTTGTGGTGTAGTTTTTGTTTGTTTGATTTTTTTTGTTGTTTGTTTTTGTTTTTTTAACTCTTTGCTCTTTGGGGATCTGCCACCCAGCTCTGGAATAAATACACATACTCTTATTCTTTCTTATGAATGCCCAGCCTTAGCTTGGCTTGTTTCTAACCAGCTTTTCTTTTCTTTTTTTAAATTATTTACTTATATTTTATGTATGAGTTCTCTGCATGTACACCTGCATGCCAGAAGAGGACATCATATCCTATTACAGATGGTTGTGAGCCACCATGTGATTGCTGGGATTGGAACTCAGGACCTCTGGAAGAGCAGCAGCCAGTGCTCTTTACCCCTCAGCCATCTCTTTAGCCCCTAGCCAGCTTTTCTTAACTTAATTATCCTGTTTTGCCGGGTGGTGGTGGCACATGACTTTAATCCCAGCACTCTAGAGGCAGAGGCAGGTAGATCTTTGTGAGTTTGAGGCCAGTCTGGTCTTAAAATCGGGTTCTAGGACAGACAGGGCTGCTATTATGCAGAGAAATCCTGTCTTGAAAAGGAACTCCCCCCCACCCCCATTTATCCTGTCTGCTTTTTGCCTCTGGACTTTTAGTTTTCTCTGTTTTATACACCTTTCTTTTCTTACTGTGTGGCTTGCAATGTAGCTAGCTGGGTGGCTGGTCCCTATGTCTTCTTACCCCTTTCTTCCTGCTCCATTCCTTTCTTTACTTGTATTAATTCTCTCTGTCTGCCATCCTTGTATTTATTCTCTCTGTCTGCCAGCCCTACCTATCCTTTCTCCTGCCTCAATATTGGCCATTCAGGTGTTTCAGTTATGCAAAATAACACCGCTTCACAGAGTTAAACAATTGCAGCATAAAAGAATGTAACACATCTTTAAATAATAATACTCTGCAACAGTGTAATTCAGGTGTGAACTATCCACTGAGTACTTGTCCTGAAGTTAGATATATCCAAGCCAAGTAACTTGATAAGTATGTATATTTGATTTATAGGGCAATATTTAAAACTAGGTGCATTAAGTGAGTAGTATCCAATACCCCCCTTTTTTTTTTCTTCCTGAGAGAGTTTTTCTGTATATCCTTGGCTGCTCTGAAACTCACATTGTAGACCAGACTGGCTTTGAACTTACAGAGATCGGCCTACCTCTGCCTCCTAAGTGCTAGATTAAAGGCCTATGTCACTACTGCCCATCAAGTAACCTTTTTTTGGGGGGTGGCTTGAGACAGGTTTTCTCTGTGGCTTTGGAGCCTGTCCTGGAACTTGCTCTGTAGACCAGGTTGTTCTTGAACTCAGAGATCCGCCTGCCTTTGCCTCCTGACTGCTGGGACTAAAGGCGTCTGCCACAAATGCCTGGCTTAACCTTTTTTTATATAATAAAATGAATTATAAGCAGTCTTTATATATTTTTTTCTTACTCTTTTTGTTGTTGTTGTTGTTTTTGTTTTTCGAGACAGGGTTTTGAAACCCTGTAGCTTTGGAGCCTATCCTGGCACTCGTTCTGGAGACCAGGCAGACCTCGAACTCAGAGATATGCCTGCCTCTGGCTCCCGAGTGCTGGGATTAAAGGCGTGTGCCACCAACGCCCGGCTTGTTTCTTACTCTTTAACAGTGAGTTGTTTTTGGAAAAATGGTAACAGGTTATACAACAACTTTTCCCATTTTTGGAGGATTGTTCTAACAGCTTTTCTTTGTGGCTATTATTCACACAGTTATGTCAGACATGCGTAACAATTCTCTCTATATTTTTTTGTTTTGTTTTTGTTTTTAAACAGGGTCTTATTGTATAGCTCACGCTGGCTTTGAGCTTATGACAATCCCCTTGCTTCTGTCTCCCAGAGTCCTGGCATTACAGGTCCGAGCCACTAAGCCCCCACAAACAGTAATGTGTAGCTAGTGACATAAAGGTTTGAACCTGCCCTGGAAGGTAACTATCAATTTAGTCACATTATTTCATCACCTATGTAGTCCATTAATACTGCTATTACCAGAAGAGGTTCACCGGCTCACCCAGGCAGTTTTGAATATATTTTAAAATGGCGTTGTTTTTATTATATTCAGGCTGGCACATTGAGTCAGGTAACTTTACTAAATGCGTATAAATAAGCCTGAAAATTGGGTGGGGGTGAGGGGAGGGAGAGGGAGAAGGGATTGATAATATGAAACAAGCTTGTTCCTAATTTGAACTAATAAAAGAAAATTAAAAAACAAACTGAAAATTGATGTAATTTTGAGTCTCTTGTTTTTCTAGCCATTGAGTGAATATACATCAAATAGAGGATGAATGAAGATTTCTTTTTTCCCATTGTTTTTGTACATTTCATCTTCTACTTTTTTTGTTGTTGTTGTTTTTTGTTTTTTGTTTTTTGTTTTTTTTTTTTGTTTTTCGAGACAGGGTTTCTCTGTATCTTTGGAGCCTATCCTGGCACTCGCTCTGGAGACCAGGCTGGCCTTGAACTCAGAGATCTGCCTGCCCTGCCTCCTGAGTGCTGGGATTAAAGGCGTGCGCCACCAACGCCCTGCCATCTTCTACTTTTAACAACAATTACTTCTACTACTACTGAGGTTTTGGGTCAGTTTTTAATAAAACATTAAAGACCCAGTCTTTAATGTTTTATGGTTTTGAAAACAAAAATCAGAAATAATAAAAATCCTAGTCTTTCAGATTTACAAAGTCATTATTAGATCCAGTTTGGTTAAGTACTAAGATAATATTGCTAAGTCTTGTTTTATTAAATCCAAGTTTCATTAAGAAGCAAGTCATGGTGCTGGAGATGGCTCAGAGGTGAAGAGGTTCAATTCCCAGCAATCACATGGTGGCTTACAATCTTCTGTGGTGGGATCTGATACCTTCTTCTGGAGCAAAGGTGTGCATGCA